GTCCTGAATTTAAACCCCCATCAGGGTCACTCATCCTTCTTTCATTTGAGGTTGATAAATAAGTACCACTTTGTGGAAAAAAACAGGTGACTATAAGAGCGCTTGTCACATGACTGTGGACTTTGCTGTTAAAATAAGATAAGATAATCCTGGCTGGTGGCATAGAGATTGAGAAAAGCACCGTAACATCAACGTCTTGAAAAGAAGGGCCCCAAAATGAGGGCACAGTCATTACAGTGAACGAATATCGACATTTCAACAGTGACAAACTTTCTTCGTCCTTTGCAGTTCCTCTGCAGAGCTCTGAGTAAAGCCTGACCATCAGTCATCGAAGCGCGCTATATGACTGTGTTAACTGCTAAATTTGGTTTGAACCGCATGTCGTCGCAAAGCCTTTGTTCTAAGTTCTAATCAATGCGACATTTTTCGTTGTGTCCTCCCCCCCTCCCCCCGGACTCAGAGAAGTGTTAAGGCAAACCTCGCCTGGACGAATTTCAAGGGATAACAAAACCTCATGTTTATGGCCTGAGTTAACGAGAATGGTGAAATTACGGGAAATCGATGGGTTTGTGTTTTGTCTGTTTGTTTTAATATCAGTAATCAATGTCCTTGTAAGGCATGCAAGAAATGTATGTTACTGAGAAGTAGCATCAGTGACTGCAGTGCATAAACTTATATCTGCAGGACAGCAAGGAAATTGATGTGATTACAGGCAGTTTTCACTGTTCTTTTTTAATTTGGGTTTAACGAATTCTCTTTGTAAAACATCGTTATAATGAACAGCGTATTGCTGTAGCCAATAAAATGATAGAACCGTAATAAATTAGTAAATGCTGGACTATATAAACTGTCCCTTTCTCCATTTGATGCAAGCTGACCCGTAGTTATTCGATCTGATCGCTCTTCTATTTCAGCTGTTTGAGAATCAAGTAAAATTTCTTCTTTGTGTTGCATGATTCATCATCAGACCTCAGTGTTGTTTAAAGGAAACAGTGCAGTCGTTCCACGTTCGGATAACCAAGGCAGTGCACTCTTTAATCACTAAGCACACAATGTGCCTATTTCTGGAAAACGACCACTTCTTTTGTGTCCAAAATGGATTTTACTTGATCAAGCTCAGTGCTACGGTATTGCATCCATTCCCCGTTGGGGCTCAAATATTGTAGAGCGTTCGCTAGCATTAGCAGTCTCCTAGGTCCGTAGAAGCAACGAGCAGGTGTCAGTGGCGCTGCCGTGCTACTTATGGAAAGAAAAAAAGAAACACTTAAATACATCAACCGTTTATCAGTAATTTATCGATAATTAATGCGTAAACGAATAACTTCTTCGGCCTTGATTTCAAACCGTATGACAGCGCTTTGTTCGTAGATGATTTGTGGTCATTCTAGCCGGACCATGAGTACACGTTGTATGAGCACCAGACCCGCATTAGACTGGGTTCCAAAACAGAGAAAACAGCCTTTAGGATACCCTGTAGATCGATTACATGATGAGCTGAAGAAATTTGCTGGATCGAAATGGATTCAAGTGACAGGAAACAGAAGCGTATGGCGGAATCAAGGACAGACTTTCTTCTAGCAGTAAATCGAAGTAGTCTGTCGGTGGTCAGACAGATATCAGAGAAACTATAAATTCGCGCTTGCGCTTTCAAGTTTCTGGGCTAAATCGTATTGCCAAACGGTCAGTGGAGATGTGAGAAATCTTCATAAGGTTAGTGTTCCTTCAGCTTCGCAAACCCTTTTGAAGGCATCGGTAAATCAACCTCAGGAGGAAGGTGATCATGTGAGCCGGTGTCACATCAGTCTTACTGTATGCTCTGCGCGTATGACATCCAGAAGTTTGAAGTATTCTACCATTGTTTCCTTGTTTCTTATGGTATGAATATGATGCCCTGTCTGGTCTCTCGCCTTTCATCTTGTAACATAGATAAAAGAAACTATCACTCTGTGTCAAAGGAAACGGAAGGTTGCGCGCTGTACTTCTGGTATTTGTACACGTTGCCTTAAGTTTTCTCGTCAATGGCATAGAAATAGCGTTCATCGCTGCTTTATGGGCTCCCTGAAAAGAATGCATATGACGGTAGTGTAAACGAGACCTACATCCTACTCCCGCAAACACATCCTTCTGCAATTTCGTTCTCCGTACAAAGTTTGCTACTGACTGGTCCACAGCCGCTGCAGTTTGACCAGACTCAGCTGTGACGTAAAAATCTTCTCAAGAATGACAGTATATAAATTTTGACTTGCAGTATTCTAAAGCCATTAAAGTGAGGAATGATATCTAATCTTCATTTGTCGGATATTTCGAATCTAGAAGTTCGCTTCTTCATGCGCATGCTGTGATGGGATATCAGACAGTTTCTTTATGATAAATGTTTCATTTTTAGATGACCAGGAGGTGTATGGTTACCAACATCTACCGAGCGAAGAAAGTTTCACCGGTGATGGATACGGCTTTGCCAACAGACGAGTCAGTGTTTTGTCACATCTTCGCGTAATTGTCATCTGCAGTATTTTCTAGCCAATTTCTTATCATAATGCGTTAATAGGACGAAATCACTTTACTGTTTGACTTTCCTGACCCTGACAGTCACAGCAACGAGGAACGAAAGCGAATGCTGACCGAGAAAGAGACGGAGAAGTTCAGCGACGAACACTATTTGTAAGTATTACGAGGTAAAATTTGGACTTTATTGGTAGCCAGTACCCGTTTTCCCACAGTGAATTAACGAACTGAGATGTTGTTGAACGAAAAATGATTGAACGTAAACGAATCTCACTTATCTAATTTTCGCTGT